CTCTCCTAAGACCTAGAACCTCATTTTGTAATTTTTCTTTCTTTCTTCTAAAGAAAGCTCGTCAAATTGAAAACCTCATTGTCCACCGCTGTGAACCCAATGATCAACCTTAAGGTCACAAACACAAAAACAACCACACACAATGCACCTCCTGATGTGATGGACTAGGAAATAGCACCATCCATGACGTGCCTCTGCCAGAAGCTTAACCTCACACTTATCAAGCCTCCAGACAGAACCCCTAATTTATACAAATACTTGGGATAGAAGAATACGTTAAAGACACCATCAGAATACAATAACCCAGTCCAAAATATGGGACATTTTATCTGATAAATCACCCAGTTTTTTCAACAAATAAATAACAAGTGAAAAAGAAAAGTTAAGGCAGGGAGGGAGAGTGTTATAGATTTTAAAATACTTTTGGAGAAATATCACCAAAAGCAATGTGTACCTTTTTTGGATCCTGATTCAGGTCAAATAACCACTTATGAGACCATCCAAAGTTCTATGCTGTCTGGATCTTCAATGGAATTAAGGAATTACTGTCAATTTCTTTTAATGTGGTAATGGTATTGTGGACATATATTTTTTACAGAGTCCTTGTCTTTTAGAGATATGTGTTTAAGTATTTTTGAATGAAGTGGTATAAAGTCTGGGATTGTTTTTAAAAATAATCTAACAAAAGGTCGGAGAGTAGAGGTTCTAGATAAAGTGCAATTGATTTTATATTGATAAATGGTGAAGCAAGGTGATTGGAACATGGAGGGTCATTATAAACATATTAATTATATTTGAACACACTTTACTGTCTGTTTAAAAATGTCCTATAAAAAGCTTAATAAAATAAAATGTAAGCTGCCACAGATGGCATATTATATGCACATTAATAATAACCAAATTAATAGTGGATATTGCCATTTACAGAGTACTTTTCATACATAATTTAATGTCATCCTAACCTCCTGCCTACAAGATAGGCTGTAGTGTCTTCCTTTCACAGGGCACAGTTGCAGAGTGGTTAATTCAGGGGCTCAGAGGCCTGGGGCTCGGAGGAGGCAGGAGGGGATTCAGGTCTGAGTCCTGATGTCTACCTCCCACACCACACCTGGCGAGGTACAAGGGAGGCTGCATGGCCCAGGTTACATCACTTAACTTCTCAGCCTTGGAAAGATGGGAACAATATGACTTAGCCCGCTTTCTTTTTAGTTGCTGGGAAATTCGAGTCTGATGATTTCTAGAAAAAGGCATTGTAAATTGTAAAGTGCCCTATAAATTTAGATAACATATATTGACTAGTTTTCTCTACAAAAATGAAAGAAAGCAGAGAGTTCTGGGAGCTGATCTCGGGTGATGCAAAGTGTGTTCTTGGCAACTTCTCTATGCTATTTCTGTAGACCTCACATCCCCAGATCCATCCCTTACATCAGTATTAACTGACTAGAGAGGCCCAATGCATGAAATTCATACATGAGTAGGGTCCCTAGGTCTGACTGGCGATCAGGGCCGATCTGTGGGCCCACTGGGGGTGGGGGGGCAGGGAGGAGGAGTCCCTGCTGGCACCCCTCTTGGCTGGCCTGGGGCCTGCAGGCTGGAGGCAGCTCATGTGTTGAGCATCTGCCCCCTGGTGGTCAGTGGGCATCATAGCAACCAGTTGTTCCACTGGTTGTTCCACCGTTCGGTCAATTTGCATATTAGGCTTTTATTATACAGGAGGATAGTGGCTTGGATGTTTTTCCTTGTGGCTCATTTGAATGCTTGCCATTGTCCCTAGGATACTGTCTATGTCACTTGTGGGAACAGAGACTCCACAACAGCTATTGATAACTGGATGTTTTCTGACTTGTTTTTAGGCTGTTAAAATGAGTATGAACTGCACGATATTTTCTGCTTTTGTCCAGAATTCTCTGCTAAGAACAGGTAACTACACTTGATCTTAGCCAAAAGGGCCAGAAGCAACTGTCCAGAATTCTCTATCAGATTATTTACATGGAGTCTTCAGTACCCAGGAAGTTCCATCAAGCAACACTGGGAAACCAGTGAGTCACTTTCAGTTCCCTAGTGGGCAGAATAATCGAGTGGTACAATTAAAACGGCTGACATTAAATGACAAAAACAAAAAACAAAACTTCTCTGGGGTAGAAACATGAAACAGCCATGTCAAATGGCAGTTTCCAAACAACCACTTTAAAACATCTGTGCTGAAATATACATTTAGCGATGGCAATGCAATTCAGCTGGTGAATTATTTAAATATGAACAAGGGTACTTATATATAACAATTTCATCGTAGATAAGCTATTTTATTCGCAAATTATTTCTTTTACAGTAATAGTTTTAGCCATAAATAATTTGGGAAGTCCTGTTACCTCGCTGGGTCTCCATTTCCTTAGCTGTAAGTTAGGAAGAATAATAACATTTATCTCATGGGTTAAAATTAAAGGAGATCAGATGTATAAAGGTACCCTAGCCTTGCTCGGGGCCTGGCACAAAGCAGGTGCTAAATGTTAGTGTCTCTTTGAATGTAGGTACTCATTAAAGTATGCGTTCTAGCCTATAATTGCTCAGGGGAGGAGAGGTTTGTGGACACCGCGGCACCAGCGTGTGGTTGCTGGGCACCAGATACTGAAAACAGGAGCCTGGCCATGTGACAAAACAGTGTAGGCTGTCACTTTCAGAATCTTGGTGCTGAGCATAGTTCGCTAAACATTTTCTCAACTTTTCTAAAAGTTTGAAAATTGTTACAATAAAATGTTGGGAGATAAAGTTAAAAATAAACTCTGGGGACCCCTCCGAGCTGTCATGGCCATGAGCGGCCTTAGCAGAGTAAACAGAAATGAACTGTCCAGGCCTGTGAGCCCACGTGACAGGCACCAGGGAGGGAGAAGCACAGGCAGGGGTGCACCGGGGGAGGCCGAGCAGGCAGCTCTTTCCTGCTGGGTGGGCATGCTGCTGGACCTCCAGCTCACAGAGGGTCTTGCTTGTGCAGCCAGGAAAGTTTGCATCACTGGGAACATCTGGGCAGGACTTCTCCCACCAGACAAGCCATGATCATTTTCAGCTCTGCTTCCAGCCAGCCGAGTTCAAGATGGAAAATTTCAGTCCCAGGGTTTCAACAGGAACTTCTGGAGCTTAGGAAAGGTACCTCACTACTTGAGAGCTGAATTAAATGCTAAAATTTCAGAACTGCTGTAAAAGTCAGTATCAACTGCCCTGAAAATAACATGTGTGGGTGACTCATTGGACTTGAATGCCTTGTTTTGGTTGCATGGATCGCACAGGACATCGGCTAGGAAACTATGGTGTAATATTTACGCCAAACACCATGGAGGATTGCTATCTTCAGTTCACAATTCACTGAGTCACACGGTTCCCTTAAAATTTAATCAAATAAGAATATATGTGTATATCTTAACTCTGGACAAAGGTTGAAATATTATTGAAGCCAATGCACATCTGTTGAGCACCTACTATCTACCATGTAATTATTATGAAGTACAGAAAATACTTCTTTTCTAGAATACGCAAATTATGTAATTCCAGGAATGTGTCACAATCAAGCCTTTTGTAAGCACAATCTCTTCACCTGTTCCTCTCTGTGAGAGTCACTGTAAGCTTTATAGTCATGCAAGAATCAAATTGGAGCAGAATGGAGACCCTCTACTCAGCTACTTAGGAGTCACCATTATTTTTCTTAACTGTGTTTAAATGTTAAATGCCAGTGGTTTAGAAGGCTATAAACTGAAAAATAAAGTTCACCTCCACACAACACTCCCAGTCTCACGCCCCAGAAGGATAAGATTTTTGCATCCACTTCCAGAAAACTTTACACATATGCAAATATGTATGTGGCCCAGATGTTGGCTGTCCACCTCGTCTGCATGGCTGACTCTCTCTTGGTGCCATGCCATGCTTGACACAAGACTCAGCCTGTTGACGAGCATTTACAAGAAATCTAATCATACCAAACACATTCCGACGTTTATAAAGTATTACTGAAGATTGGCGGGGCTGGGGGGAAGGTTCACGGTGTCCGGCACCTCTCTTAAACAAAACTACGTTCAAGACTATGGAATAGACCAGGTGTCTCTCCCATGGTCTTGCCAGCCCACACTGGCACTCTCCTCATTGGCCCCCTGTGCACTGCATCCAGCCAACACACGGCACTGCACTGCAAGTACTTGTTTACCTGCCTATTTCAGCAACAAGGCTGAGAACAGGCCTGTTGGATGGATAAGATGGGTCTTATCCATCTTTATGTCCTCTCTGTGCGACACACAGAAAGTGCTTTAAAAATGTGTGGGAAGCCCTAGCCGGTTTGGTTGAGTGGATAGTGCCGGCCTGTGGACCAAAGGGTCCCCGATTCGGTTCTGGTCAAGGGATGTGCCTCAGTTGCAGGCTCCTCACCAGCCCCGGGCCCTGGTCTGGGCTCGTGCAGGAGGCAACCAATTGATATGTTTCTCTCACATCAATATTTTTCTCTGTCTTTCCCTTTTTCTTCCACTCTCTCTAAAAATCAATGGAAAAATATCCTCGGGTGAGGATTAAAAAAAAAAAGTGTGTGTGAAATTGACATGTCCCATTGTGTTAAGAAGCACCCAGCACACCCTCCCCTCTTCTGGAGCTGGAGTTATGGGTAAGGCAGCATCCTGAAGGCGTGCTGCCTGGGAGCAGCGGCCCAGCCTCTCTGTCCCTGCCCTGAGGCACGAAGTTAGCTGAGTCACACAAACCCTCTGAAACCTCCCGTTTAGACCCGTGCAGTCTCCCAACCAATTAAAAAAGGCCAAGGACATCACATGAAGAAGGCAGGATGCATCAAGATGCCAGTCGATGTTAGAATTGGTAGCCAGAGCCCGGGGAGGACTAGTCATGTTAGGAAGTGGAATGACACTGGAAGGAACAGGTCAGATCAACTTAAAGTCACTGGGTTATCTTGTGGACACAAATGAACCCTGAAATAGCATCAACTTATATCACAAGGAAGGGCCAGTTGTACTTACAGTCCACGTTCACCAGGTCCACCACCAGGGCAGGCTCCTGCTCTTCTCAGCCCCGGGAACCATACTGATGGAGTGTGGCAGGTTGGGGTCCCCACAAAGCAGACTCTGAAAAGAAATTAACATGCAGGGGGTGTAAGGCATTGCTCTTATCAACAACCATGCAAAAGATCAGGAGGAACAGGATCGTGCAGAGGGAGGAGAGGAGCTACAGAGCAGGCCCAGCAACAACCTTGGCCTAGCCCCCGGGTCTCTGCAGCTTCGGTGGCCCCTCAGAGCAGTCCCAAGTTGGGCCAAGATGGCTGGGTCCTTAAATCCCTGTGTTAGTCAAGTGGATCATGCCAGGTGGCTCTGAGCAGCGGAGACAGTCCCTTCAGGGACTGACCACTAAAGGCCCTCTGCGGAGGACAGCCCCCTCAGCCTCCAGGGCAACAAGACCTTCACGGAAGGGGACATGAACAACCCGTGGCAGAGCCCGCCAAGCAGAGGGCTAGAGTAGCTGCCCCCTCGGAACACATGCCAAGGTATCTCAACTTGGATCCTCCCCAGAGGCCAACCCTCAGCCCGGGTGTGAGTGCAGGCAGCTCACTGGGTAATATGGAAGTGAGACAGGGAACATAGAACGCTCTCATGAACAGGACGCTGCTGGGCTCTGCCAGACAGAACAGAACAGGCCGCCAGTCATCCCACCCAGGAGCAACAAAGGGGTGGTTCTTATCCACCAAGTCCTGTCTGTCACTCAAGGTCACTCCTGGAGGCAGTCACCCCTGGCAGTTTCAACCTGCCCAGCCCACTTGAGCAAAGAGTCACAAGTAACTGCAGGAAGGAGCCACGGGAGTGGTGAGCACCAGGGGAATGCCAGGGAGGAGAGAGCCCGCGCAGCCTCTCAGGAATGTTACGTTACTCAGCCCAGACGTGACACACTCACACCCAGGAGCAGAGCGAGTTGCATGGCCCACCCTTGATGGGGCTGGGCCAGGAGTCTGCCTGGCCCCAGGGAGGGAAGCAGAAGTGGACATTGCTAAGCCCTGAGAAGGTCCACGTCCCACCTCACCACCTCCTGGCGGTGTGTGAATGAGTAGTTGCTTTACTTTCTGAGCCTCAATCTACTCATCTGTGAAGTGGGGAGAATAACACCTATGTCATAGAGTGTAAGAAATGAAACTAATGCACATGACGAATCCATGTGATAGGTTCAAATTATTATACTTTATAACACTTTATGTTACCTATATTCTTTTTATGTATCAAATATAACATTAACATAATAAAGGATACTTGCTTGATATTATGTATTGTGAAATTCTAAGACTATTTCAAATATATAAACGTCTTTATACATTTGTATATTTCTAAATAGCCTACCACAGTTTCTAGGACCTATTTGGCAATTCATAAGTGGTAACTATTATTACTTGGGAACGCCTGGCAATCAATCTCATTAATCATAAGCTAACAATGGGTTTGGAATGTGATTTACCCAGATAAATAGTCAGTACAAGGGTCTTCTACTTGGAGAGGAGAGATGACCTACGCCTGTTGACTCACCATGTAAACACAAGTCATGGCAATTTACTAACAGCAAGATCGATTTCCTGCTGAGTCCTTCCAACCCCGCTCCCATCGGGAGCCAGACACAGGGGAGGAGGTCCGATGTGCTCACATGGAACCCGCTTCCCTTTCCACTGACTTCTGAACGATTAGACACCTGCTTGTTGCAATGTCATCAAAATGAGACGCAGAAATTCCTCACCTGCCATAAGCTAGACAGAGCTTTTGAGATGCAAACCATATACATTCTCAGAGGAGAGGACCGAAGCGGAAGGGAAAGTCACTTTCACAGATTCATCCCCCAGCCTTCCCCCTCCATACACATGCTAAGCACACAGAGCTTTTGCAATCTGCTATGAAAACAGAATTTTAAAATAAACCTTCGTCTCCTCTCTCAGATCAGAATTTAGAGGAAAATAGATTTCTGCAAGGTGGATTTGTTCTCCCAAATTAGCTTCATTCAGACACACACACACACACACACACACACACACACACATGTCCACAAAAAGCAGCCTTCATTAATAGGCCAAATATAGAAAGAACAAGTTCACCCTCAGCAGGAGGGAGACATTCAATAAATATGAGGACAGGCTTGAAGCTGCATAAAAATAAAACTCACAGAAGCCAGCAGATGGCACTTAATCATAATTTTTCCTATAATTTCTATTAATTGTTAAATATTCTTCATTCTGTCTTCCCAATAAGATGAATGCTGTGGAAATATGGCATAGTAAGTAATGTTTTCCCTTTGAGATATTAAATAGGCTTGCTACATAAAATTTCCCCACCTACAAAACTAGCCCGGACCCATTTTTCTCTCGCGTGTATTTATCATAGCACGGCATGCATATGCATGCCCATGTATCTGTGTGCTTCCAAGCACGCAGCACATTTGATAAATGTATGAAGTACCAGCTAACACCTTCAGTTATCTCCAGAAGCAAATCCAAATCAAGAAATTGTTGTTCCGCCCTAACCGATTTGGCTCAGTGGATAGAGCGTCGGCCTGCGGACTGAAAGGTCCCAGGTTTGATTTCGGTCAAGGGCATGTATCTTGGTTGCGGGCACATCCCCAGTAGGAGTGTGCAGGAGGCAGCTGGTCGATGTTTCTCTCTCATCGATGTTTCTAACTCTCTATCTCTCTCCCTTCCTCTCTGTAAAAAATCAATAAAATATATTTTTAAAAAAAAGAAATTGTTGTTCCTGAAACAGTCACCTAAAACCACTTAAAACCACATTGTCTGCCACAAATAGAAATGTAGGAATACCTCAGGGAGGCCACTTTGGCAATTTCCTTCAAGGCTTCTATTACAAGCATTAACAAGGCCAGTGACCCCTTCTAGGCTATTCTGTCTCACCTGCCTATTCACGCCCCCCCCCCACTCCTCCCTCCACTATGATGTCCTCTCCTTCCTTCTCCTCACACTCCCACGATGCTTCCCCCCCATGCCTGTTGCCTAATTCCCTTTCCTTTTCTGCTTCTGCCGGTTTTTTTCTTTTCATCTCTCCTCCTCTCCCTTAGGCACTGGAGTCGGTTTCCTAAGTCTTAGAGGGACAGATGCTGTACCAGCCAGGGTTCTTGGTTTCTGACACCAGAAATTGACTCTGTTAAGCAGAAGAAAAAAAAATATTGGAAAGCCATCAAGTAGTTCACAGACTCGACAGGAAGCCTGGAGAATCTGGCTCGGCCGACAGACAAGAACCAAAGGAGACTGGCACTAGAGAGGACAGCCAAGGTCACACCACTGAAAACCGCTTGGCTGGGACAGTGCCACCGGCACCGCGGCCTCCAGCCACCACTGCCACTTGACTGTGCAGAAAAAGTGAGCACTCGTTCCGAGGATTTGTTTCATTCCCTCCAGATCCCCATTCCAGACACATGACCTGCTCTCCAAGAGCACAGCCGTAGGTCTAGTTCAGACCAAAAGGAGGGGGGAGGGGGTGCCCAGCCAGAGCCAAAGCTGGGCAGCCTATCTAGAAAGCAGATCTCAAGAAACACTTGAGATTAGGAAATCCCATGTGTCACAGACACCACTCGCTTTAAACCCACCTTATTCCTGGCGAGTGGGAATAACTTGGGGAAAAGGAAAGCTATGGGGCAGTATACAAATCAATTCTGCCAGCTCTGGAGAGACAAAGTATAACGTGAAATGTAGCTGATGCTATAGCTTTGACAGTTGACTCGGTTATTTCCTACGTCCTTGGTCCTGGACAAAGCCAGGGGCTGCAGTTGCTAATGTGAACACCCTTTGTTTGCAGGTTCTGTTTAGTCAATTGAAATTCCGGCTCCTAAACAGTATTCCTTTGACCTACATCTTAACCCTTAATGGAACAAGAGCAGCTACTTTCTAGGGATGAGAATTGTAACATGATGCCTGGCTTGGTGCAGGGGCCTCTGTCCTCATCCTGCCAGCTGGTCCCAATTATGCGCTGGTTTGGGTAATTTGAGATCGCGGAGGGTATCTGCAGTAGGACTGTTTTCTAAGCACTGAACTTCCCTTAGGATCCCCGGCCCAACTAGAACTAAGGGATCCTTTAATATTCTCAATGATGAGGTGATTTTCTCTGTTTTTCAAAAAGAAGGGGGGGGAGGAAATAAACTATATAAATAGAATCACTTGGTGGCGTGCCTGATAACCACTGCCAAGGCAGGGTGAAAAACGAAGGCAGCTGTCTATGTCATTCGGGCAGCGCTCCAGCTCTGCCTACATATATCTTGGGCGACTGCCTCAATTTTCCTGTGGGTTAACAGAGCGGGTCTGTGTTGCTGCAAGTTTTCTTTGTGATAGGTGACACCCCGGCCAGTCTTTGGGGGAGCTCCAGCCCGGTGTTAAAGGACCACACACTTATCTGAGTCCAAGTTAATGTGTTTACAGCTTAATGTTTATTAAGCATCTGTTATACCAAAGCACTGAAAAATCTAAAGTCTAACTGGGTAAGGCTCACTATCTCGTGAGACGGATCTCATCCAGCCAGTGGCATCCCGAGGTGGTGGAGGGTAGGAGAGTCCGCCATTGGCTGGGAAGAGCGTTGTGTCATTGACATTGTTTAGAACTGTCACAGTGCACGGTGATAATACAAACCAGATGGCTTTTAGTTGGTTTTATAATTATTTTTAAACCCTCTACAGAGTAAGACACCCTTATTGCCTGCACTTGGCCCCCTCGCCATACTCCTCTGTTCCCCACCACCACGCCCAGCTCAGGCCATCGTGGGCTCTGAGCAGGTGCAGGAGAAGGGGACTATAGCGGAAGATATAAATGTCGCCGGAAGACAAGTGCCTGTAGCTGACTGGGCCTGAGTTCCACTAGTTAGACTGATCTTTGGGGAGGGGGGGGCCTGTCCCCTCACCCCCATGCCTTGAATCACATTATTGGCATTTGCCGAAACCGGTTTGGCTCAGTGGATAGAGCGTCGGCCTGCGGACTGAAAGGTCTCGGGTTCGATTCCGGTCAGGGGCACGTACGTTGGTTGCGGGCACATCCCCAGTGGGAGATGTGCAGGAGGCAGCTGGTCGATGTTTCTCTCTCATCGATGTTTCTAACTCTCTAACCCTCTCCCTTCCTCTCTGTAAAAAATCAATAAAATATATTAAAAAAAAAACACATTATTGGCATTTATAAGTCAGCTCCTTTTCCTCACTATCAGACGTATTCAGTTATATCTATGGGTTAGACCAGTGGTCAGCAAACTACAGCTCGCGAGCCACATGCGGCTCTTTGGCCCCTTGAGTGTGGCTCTTCCATAAAACACCACGTGCGGGCGTGCATGTACAGTGCAATTGAAACTTCGTGGCCCATGCGCAGAAGTCGGTATTTTGTGGAAGAGCCACACTCAAGGGGCCAAAGAGCCGCATGTGGCTCGCGAGCCGCAGTTTGCCGACCACTGGGTTAGACCATCCTGCTATCGGATTCTTTGTACCATAAGAACCTAGGCTTCTTCACCACTTATTTCACCTTTCCAGCACCGTCACAGCATGCCAAATGCATGAAATAGCTGTTTACAGCAAATTGGCACAGCAGCCAGGTCGGTATGGCTCAGTGGTTGAGCCACCCCCAGGTCCACGCCACCATTATCTCTGTTCTACGTGGTCTCACAAAAGCCCATTTCTGCCT